AAGTGCCTGTCGTGTTGGTGCTGACTCATAGTGACCCTGAATAGTGTTTCCAGGGAGTGGTTGCTGGGTTTGAACACCAACCTTGCGGTCTGTAGTCCATTGCTTAACTTACAGTGCCATACCAGAGGTCCTTTAGTATCACTGTTGTTGTTAAGTACCGTCAAGTCGATTCCGACCCATAGTGACCCTGTACAGGGTTTGCAAGTCTCATTAGTGTGTCTTAAAAAAAAAGTCCAATCAAAATAGTGGCTTATCTGCTGGGCTAATTTAGTTCATGGTAGAGTGGTCAGTTCAAAAGGCTATGGCATTTTATTATTTTTTTTAATTGCCAAGGGACAATCTTGATACCTATTTGTGAAGGACACAGAACGATCATGGAAGCTTATGAAAGAATTCTGAAAAATATTGAAAACTGCATTCTTAAGAAAAAGTTCAGGCTGTGCCAACTATTTTTTTCTATCATGACAATGCACCTGCTCATTCTTTGAGGGTAGCATGGGGTTCCCTGTGAGGATTTCACTGAGAAACCTTACCCCATTCACTCTATAACCCTGATCTTACCTCTCCAAATTTCTTTTTGTTCCTCAAAGTAACACAAACCATTTCAAAGGTTCATGATTTTAGTATCTTGAAAATGCTCAGACTGCTGTTTTTATGTGTTGTCAATCAAAAAGCATAGAATTGTTCAGGGAACAGTTAGAGAAAGATGGAAATACTGCCTTCAAAAGTGTATAGATCACCCCTTCCAAGACTACGACTCAATGGGAATACATGCTCTGATTGGTGACCATGCTCGACACCGATAAGGGGAAGTGAGAGAAAAACAGTAATGAAGTGGTGAGCTAAGCCCTACAACGTTCAACAGACTCCTGTGAAGACCTGGTTGGCCAGCAGTGTGGCAAGACCTGGGGACTTTTGGGCCCAGAGTCAGTGACACAGCCACAAAGGACTAGAGTGGCGAGTGAAGTGTCCAGCTGATAAGAAGAGAGGACATATGCACAAGAACATCCATACATTCAGATAATACCCATTTGACCTTCAATGACTGGATGATCAGAGCTCAACCAGAAGAAGAGAGAAGAGGGAAAAAAAAGAGTAATCTAATACAATTTGATGAATTTGACCTACACCTATTGATGCAGTAGCTCAAAAGCGGGAACAAATCTTTACAGCAAGGATCATTTCCACCCCCTCCATACACAGACAGGGATGGGCAACTTGGACATTGGATACCCAAAATAGGGGGGGCTAGAGAGGCAAGAAGTGACTGGCTTAGAAGCTTTCAAGAGGGAACCTAGATCCAGAGGGCATGGAGGAAGGTAGAATCTCCACTGAGTAGTATCCAATCTGTCTGAGTGGGACTGATGAAAGGAAATGAGGATAGGTCTCTTGTGATACAATAGTGAATAAGTGTTGTCAGGACTGATTGTGAGGGTTGGAAATGCACAGGTAGACATTTTATAGCAAGGAGGGGAGTGATTAACTTTTCAGTCTAGGAGCAGAGGTCCCTAGGACCATCAACGGAGTAAAGCCAAGAGCAGGACCCTACCCAGAGAAGCAGTGATGCCTGAAATGGAGCCAGAGATGATGAGATGGAGGCAGAGTAGAGGAGAGATGGAGCGGCGGGGGACTTTAGATCCAGAGAGGGAGAGGGGCTGTGTGCTGACGACTAGGGGGGCAGGCTTATAGTGTATACCCTTTGGTTGGTTGATGATGCATGGAGGGGATTGTAACCATGGCAATGAAATGATATACGATAGGATGAATGTAAAACTAATGTTCTCCCATGTAAACTATCACATAATTCACAATAAAACATTAAAAAAAAAAAAGTGTATAGACCAATGCCAGAATTGTAGCTCATACCCAGTTGACCTACCTTCAATGGCTGGATGATCAGAACTTGACTAGAAGAAGATAAAAAAGAAAAAAATTAATAAAGGAAACAAGTGTAAATCACTACAGTTTGATGAACTTGACCTATACTTATGGATGTAGTAGCTTAAGATACCAACATCAAGGATCATTCCCATCCCCTCTGTACAATGGGTTGATAGGGATGGGCAACTTAGACATTGGCTGCCTAAAATGGGGTTGGGGTGGGGGCTATAAAGGCATGAAGTGACTGGCTTACAGGTTTTCAAGAGGGAGTTTAGTTTCAGGCAGAATCCCCACTGAATAGTTTTCATCTTGTCTAGACAGGTCTGGTGAAAGGAGATGGGGATAAGATCCTTATAATTCAGTAGTGAGTAATTGTTATCATGACTAATTGTGATAGTCACAATTGTAAAGGTAATATAAAGGGGGGAGTAATTAATCTTACATTTCAGGAACAGATGTCCCTAGGACCATCAAGGGAGAAGAGTATGAGTGGAATGTGGGACCCTATTCAGAGAAGCAGCAACACTAGAGATAGAGGCAGAGATGATGACATGGAGAAAGATAGCAGCTGAGGATTCTAGACTCATGAAAATGGAAAGACTGGGTCCTGGCAGCCAGGAGGCAGGCTTGCAGAATATGTCTTTTGGTTGTTTAGATGATTATATATTCCTAAGTGTTTTGGTGTACTTAAAAAAAAAACACCCCAAAACAAACAGAGGAAATAGAAGGAAATACTGTTCAATGATGATACAGAGAGGATTGTAATGATTGCAATGAAAGGAAATATGATAGGATGAGTATAAAACTGCTGTTCACCTGTGTAGATTATCACTCAATTCATCATAAAAACTTATAAGAAAAAAAAAAGTGTATACACCTCTATGGAGGTTAAGTGCAGGAACAATAGCTTTATACTTTGACATTTTGAAATAAAGGTTACTATGATTTTAAAGATTTTTAAGACCTTTTAAAAGTGTTGAAGAGCAAAGATGTCAGCTTGAGGACTAAGGTGTGCCTGACCCAACCTCATGTGCATGCAAAAGCTGGAGAGTGAATAAGGAAGACTGTAGAATCAATGCTTTTGAGTTATGGTGTTGGAGGAGAATATTGAAAGTGCCATGGGCTTCCAAAGGAACCAATAGATCCGTTTTGGAAGAAGTAAGTTCAGAGTGCTCCTTGGAGGCCAAGATGGCCAAACTTTGTCTTGCATACTTCGGACATATTGTCATGAAGGACCCATCGCTGGAGAAGGATATCATGTTTGGTAAGGTGGAGGGTCAGAGAAAAAGAGGAAGTCCCCCAACAAGATGGATTAGCCAAGTAGCATTAGAATGTGGCATCAGAACTGGGTGAAGACTCATTAACAATCATGTATGCAAATGATACAATTTTATATGCTGAAAGCTAAGAGGACTTGAAGCATACATTTATGAAGATCATCATGCCTTCATTATGAATTACGCCTCAACATAAAACAAAAATTCTCCAACTGGACCAATTAGCAACATCATAAATGGAGCAAACATTGAAGTTGTCAAGGATTTCATTTTACTTGGGCCCCACAATGTCCACAGAAGCAGCAGTCAAGAAATGAAATGTATTTTTGCATTGTATTGCATAGGGCAAATTTGTTGCAAACAACTTCATTAAAGTGTTAAAAAGTAAAGATGCCATAAAGGCGCAAAGTGACTGGCTTACAAGTTTTCTAGAGGGAATTTAGTTTCAGAGGCAGCTGTATATGAGAAAGAAGACCAAAAAAAAAAAAAAAAAGTAAACATGTCACTTTACTAAGGAGAGCCTGGCCCAACTCAGTTGCCTTGTATGCATATGAAAACTGGATGATGAGTAAAGAAGACTGAAGAATTGATGCATGTGAATTACACAATTGGTGAAGAACACTGACTATAGAATGGAATGCTAGAAGAATGAAAAAATACATCTTGGAAGAAACAGAGTCAGAATGTCTGTAGAAAACTTTGTCTCGTGTACTTTGGACATGTTGTCAGGTGAGATCAGTTCTCGAGAAGGACATCATGCTTGGTAGAGGATGAGGACAAAAGAGGAAGAGCCTCGATGAGATGGGATGACACAGGGGTTGTAACATGGGTTCAAACACATTAACTGTGAGGCTGGCACAGGATTAGCCAGTGTTTCATTCTGTTATAATTAGGGTTGCTGTGAGTTGGAATAGATTCGATGGCACCTAACAACAACAACAACTAATCATGCCCTTTTTCCTTGGTCAATATTTAGAAATAAACAAGAAATAAGATGCAGGATTCAAAGAGAAATAAAAATAACCGCTTTATTGCTGATAAATTGATGGAAAGTAGGGCTTTGGCATGCAGCCACAGGACTTCCCTTGAATTGTGATGGTTAGATTTATTGTGAGTACTAGAAAATTTAAAATAGCAGTAGCTTTAACAAGGGAGAAGCTATTTCTTAGCAACATCACTTAAAAGTCCAGAAGAAGCAATTTAGGACAGGAAGACTGTTCCACAGTACTGGGAACCCAGACTTCTTTATATGACTTGTTCTATATCACTTCCTTTCCCAGGGTTACCTTGGAGCCCAGGATGGCTGCTTTAGCTCCAGCTATCATGCATACATTCCAACTAATAGGAAGTGTAAGAAGGGAAAAGGGCAGGATATCTTCATTTTAGGACACATCAGTTTTGCTTAAATCTCAGTGGTTAGGTTAAATGCCGTTGAGTCAATTCCGATTCATGATGAACCTGTATAGGATTTCCAGTGAGCAGCTGGTTGAGTTTGAACTGCCGACCTGTATTTTGAAATCCAGTGCTGATTCTGCAATGCCACACCAGGAGTCCTAAATTCCATTAGCTAGAACATAGTCACTTAGCCACATGTAACTATGTTTAAGTGAGTATTTTGGGCATCATATACCCAACCCAAAGTGAGAAATTCATTATAAAAGGGGAGAAAGAATATTGATGGATAACTTGTATGCTCTGCTGCACCCGAGTTCAACTTACACTGCCAGGCTGAGCCAGAGCTAGAGAACTCAGGATAGGCAAGCTGCTTACCACCAAGCAGAGACTACCTCAAGGATCAGTTGCTTGCCAGAGGGGGTGAACCATGCACACTTGGTTCCGTCTTCATCTGATGCAGTGAGGGAGGGCAACTGTGTCTCCTGAATGAATGATATTTGGATTTAAGGGGCCGTACAGTGTGCTGTCATATGGCAGGAAAGCAGCACAAGACCTGGCCCCACAGTAACACGGTTTTCTCAGTTTTCCGTGCTCTAGCCTCTCTCCATCGTCACTGTCCATCTGATTAAGAAATCTTCCTGAATAGTCGTAAGAGAGTTCTGCTTGTGGCAAAATGTCTTTGGCTGCAAAAAGGGCTAACTTAGGTACCATGGAGTGAATTCGGACAGGAATCATCCATAGGTTTGGCTCACAAGAATGGTTAAGGTATCTTCCAATATTTCCTATATGGGTAGGATCCACAAATGTTTCCATTACCTGTCCATTGTGAATGTGCTCTCGGATGGCTATAATATAATTGGAATCATGTACTGTTTGTGACTGAATTCTTCTCTGCACTTCACGGAATCCTAGAACCTCCCCAGCGTATTCACAGACAAAGCTTCCTTTTGGTATAAATTCCAAGGTACGAAGTCCCCAGCCTTTTTTATCCGTCTTGAACACCTGAAGGTGGAACTGCAGACCCCGTTGGACCACTCTGTTTTTGCAGCGGTCACTGCACTGGCACAGGGCATTGCATTCAAAAACTGGCTGGGCATACTTTCCTTCCGAACCTACGTCTCTGAGGCATGAATGACTGTCATAGTTCTCCTCATGACGGAGACAGGAGCAAGTGCCAGGGACGCAGGGAGTTTGGAGACAAGTGCATCCAGGAAAGGTTATTTCCGTGGGATCAATGTCTGCTCCAGGTCCAAGGACATGATCGGGAGTATACTGCAAAAAAACATAAGCAGTGTAAGTCAGCATTGTCATGCCACGTGTTTCATACTGTTCATGTTCCAAGTGGAGTCCTACTGTGGGTTAATGCGCTGGACTGCAAAGCTGGTTTGAACCACAAGGTCGGCGGTTCAAACTCACCAGCCACTCCTCGTAAACCCTAGACAGGGTCACTATGGGTTGGAACTGACTTAACGGCACTTAACAACAACAATGCTCTAAGTAGCTTTTAGCTAAAAGACTTTTTAATTCCAACATGAACAACAACAAAATTGATAAAACATTGTGTCTTTAGGTACTGGTAGCGTAGTGGTTACGAATCAGGCTGCGAACTTTAAGGTCAGTGGTTCAAAACTACCAGTCACTCCGCGGGAGAAAGATGAGGCTTTCTACTCCCATAAAGATTTACACCCTCGGAAACCCTGTACAGGGTCGCTATGGGTCGGAACTAACTCAACGGCACTTAACAACAACAAAGACATATCTTCCCAATTAAAAAAAAATAAGATCCATTTTTTAGATTTAAAATATTTTGGTCGTTTATGAGTCGGAACCAACTCCATGGCACACCACCACCACTACCACTGTAGGTGTAGGGATAACAATAGGTAACTTTCCCCTCCCCTCTTATCGGAAAAGCACTGAAACCCATCGTGTTTCCCTCCTAGCTTTGGAGGTCAGGAAACTCATGGCTGAATGTAATGTTTAAGTGAAGCCTGGTTTTCTATCCTCGGGTTTTTCCTCTCTTTTGTCTCTATCAGATAAGGTGTTAGGTGGTGTGCCCCAGCCGGGTACAACAGAATGAACCACTGCGCCCATTGTTGCCACAGCTGTGTTGTTATCTCACTCAGGAGCGGCCTCTGTCTCTCTGACCTTCTCACTTACCAAGTATCATGTCCTTCTCCAGGGACTGTTCCTGCCTGAAAACATGTACAAAGTATGTGAATTGATGTCTCACCATCCTTCCTTCTCACAAGCATTCTGGCTGTACTTCTTCTAAGGTAGTCCATGGTATATTTGATGCTTTCACCAGTGCCATAATCCAAAGGTATCAAGTCTTTTTTTTTTCGTCTTCCTTATTGATTGTCCAGCTTTCCTAAGCATAAGGAGGTGAATGAAAATATCATGGCTTGGGTCAGGCACACCTTAATCCTGAAGGTGACAGGTTTGCTTTTCAACACTTCAAAGGGGTCTTTTACAGCCAATGCAATATGTTGTTTATTTTCTCGACTGCTGCTTCTATGGGCTTTGTGGGTCCAAGTAACAGTAAAATCCTTGGTAACTTCGATGCTTTAGAAATCTATCATGATGCTGCTTGTTGACGCAGGTGTAGGATTTCTGTTTTCATTATGGTGAGATGTAATCCATACTGAAGGTTGTCATCTTTGATCTCCATGAGTAAGTGCTCCAAGTCCTCTTCACTTTCAGCAAGCAAGGTGTCGATGTTATCCATAACTTGTAATGATCCATCCAGTTGAATGCCTTTGCATAGCCAATAAAACACAGTAAAACATGTTTCCAGTATTTTCTGCTTTCAGCCAAGATCTCTCTAATATCAGCAATAAAATTCTTTGTTCCAAGTCTTTTTTGGAATCTGGCTTGAATTTCTGGCAGTTTCCTGTCAGTGTATTGTTGCAACAAGCTTTTGAATTATATTGAGCAAAATTTTACTTGAGTTTGGTACAGATGACCCTGTTCAATCATTTCCACATTCTGTCAAATTACCTTTGGAATGGGCACAAATATGGATTTATTCCAGTCAGTTGGTCATGTAGCTCTCTTCGAACTAAGTGAGCACTTCTGGCACTGAATCTGTTTAGTGAAACATCTCATTTTGTAGCCCATCAATTTTGGGAGCCCTGTTTTTCACCTATATCTTTATTTCCACTTGGGTTTTTTCCTTGGGTACCATTTATTCTTAATCTTATGCTACCTCCTGAAATGGATGAACATTCACCAATTTTTTTTTTTTTTAAGTGAATTATGTGATAGTTTACATGGGAGAACATTAGTTTTACATTAATCCTATCATTGACCAATTTTTTTTTTGGTTATAGTGATTGTCTATATTTATTCCATTCGCTTTTATGTACCCTGTGTCATTCAATATTTTGTCTCTGTTGTTGTTATAAAGGGTTTTAGAGTTGATTCTGACTCATCATGACTCTGTATAGGGTTGCCAAGCAGCGTGTGGTGAGTTTGAACTTCCAACCTTGTGGCTGTATCTGACAGCACCACACCTGGCAGGACTCCATTTTGTACATAAAATCCTTCAATATTGCAACTCATTAATACATATCCAAATAAGGATTTTTGGAGAAGGACATCATGTGTCCATCAAGTAGAGGGTCAGCAAAAAAGAAGACCCTGCTAAAATGGATTGACACAGAGGTGGCAAGGATGGGTGAAATATAACAAGTGTGAGGATGGAGCAGGTTGGGCGTTTTGTTCTGTTGCACGCAGGGTCGCTATGACTTGGAACAGACCTGATGGCATCTAATAACAACAACAAACACATGTGTGTTTATTATTAAGTTGTCATTTCCTTTTTTGGAGATAAGAAAGGCATGAATGGTAAACAAACCAATGAAAGATGGCCTCTTGAGAAAACTCTCTAAATTATTTTTTTCTTAGATTTTTTTTTTTATTTGAAGATTATCTAAATTCTTAAGCAGAATCTGTTTTACAAAGTCTATTACTATATAGTTCCATTTGCATCTTCACTATATTCAACCCAATCATTTGGCTAAAAACTGAAGCCAGTATTCTAAGAATGGTATTTTTTAGTAGATACTTCGATTTATTGTTGCCTCTTATGTAAATAAATCCTATACTTATTAAATAATAAAGGGATAATATAAAAACTTTCTCAAATCTATTCACTGTATTTGTATTTTCAGACATTAACATTTATAGGATGCTTCAGAAAAAGAAGACATTCTAAAATTGTCATTGTTTATGTGTAGCTGAATCTTTGGTTACATCCTCACTGGCATAATAAAATTTATTTTCAAAATAAAAAGTAAAGTATCTTATGAGCCCAACACTTCTTTAATGCATAGAAGAATTCTTGTTTATGTGGAAGGAAGGCTCTAACGCAGCTTACAAAGATGTAAGATAATGAACAATAGGTAAAAAAAAAGTGAAGCAAAGGGAAAACCAAGAGCAAGTGCGTGCAGTGAGCTCAACCCCAGGAAGTGTGGGTGTCCAGCTCAGCCTGAGAACAGCCAGCATGTCAGAGGAAGTAGAATGACATGTGTAATTCACATCGTCCTTGTAGTTCAGGAGAAGCACAGTCTTTCCAATACTGTGACAAGACAGAAATGTCCCGGAAAACCTTTCCTTTCCAGGAAGCAGTTTCATGGACTGTCTTTTAATTCTGACCCTCAATAAAGATGGCTGGCATGCTCGGAGCATATAGTTTAGTAAGTGCCTTTCCGCAAAAGGTCTGTTGGTCAGCCTTTAATTCAGGGACAGACTTTCGAGTTATCCAGCGGAATGTTCCAACAGCATAGCTTTCAGTCAAACCTCCAAATTTGGTATATAAATGGTTATTGAGACATTTTAAGACATTTACTTGTAGAATATGGTTTTTACTACTTAAATTCTTCATAAAGAATTTTAAGGTGATTTGCTCTTAAGAGCTTATATTTCAAAAGCACTATGTTGTTGTTATTAATTGTCATTGAGTCAGTTCAGACGCATAGTGACCCTGAATAGGGTTTCCAAGGAGCAGCTAGTGAGCTTCAACCACCGACCTGGTGGTTCAAACTGACTTTGCAGTCCAGCACATTAACCTATATTGCCACGCCAGGACTCCGGGGTTTCTGAGGAGCGACTGGTGAGCTTGAACCCCTGTGATTACCAGTTCAGTGCTTAGCCTACAGAGCCACACTAGGGCCCTTTAGGGGGGTAGCACATAAATGGTATTGTTTTGCTAAGTGCCCTGGGGCCTCATCTTTTCCTTGCAGAGCAGCTGGCTGGTGGGCTTGAACCACCAATTTTGTGGTTCACAGTCTATTGCATATTGCACAGAGCCACCCGAACTAATTCCAAATGAGCTGCAGACAACTTTCAAAACTAATTCAGACTTTCGGAAACATTTCTTGTTTAAAGAGGGTATTTTTTTCCTTGATGGATGTAATTGCTGATTTGGAGACCAATTACTGTTGTAAACTATTTTATCTGCATGAGTCTCCATTTTCTTCTCCATCAGCAAAACACTATTCTAGAAAGAGAGCTTACCTGACTTAGAAAAATGACTATAGTAAAGAATAATCCTTCGAAACGCTTGGTTTAATTTATCATGTTTATGGAATTATTCATCTTTTCTGGTTTCAAACTGCACATTGAAAAGTTAATTGTTCCTTTCAGAAACAATCTGATGCTACAAAACTTCCATTCTGTTTAAATAAATATTAACCAAGCAAATTGTTAAACAAAGAATCAGAAAGATTTTGGAAAGTGTGTTACAAACTGGGAGTCACTTGACATGAACTTGTTACTGTGTGCCATGGAGTCAGCTCTGAGTACTAGTGACCCTGTATAGGGTTTCCAAGGAGCAGCTGGTAGGTTTGAACCACTACCTTGTGGGTTAGCAGTCCAGTGCTGATCCCAGTGTCATACCAGGACATAAGATTCAATGTTCCCAATTTGTAACACTTTTCACAGTCTGTAGCTTGCTGCCCAGTACAAAGCCCAGGACCAGAAAAAGGGTGTTATCCTGAGGGTTGTTTGTATTTATGCTACGTCACCGTCAACGGGAGATAAAGTTCAGAGGGATGCTGCCCAGAGACAACAAGTTTTTATATACCTAGCATCTACTTCTCATTGTTCTGGTGACTGCAGCTCGATTCTTCCCAGGGGACCTCTCCCTGCGTTCATTCGCAGTGGCTGTGTGAAGTCCAGGCTGGGTAGGGGCTATACATCACATCACAGGCCGCAGTACCTGTGCTTTGATCCTGGATGAGCACATGACTTAAGCCAGAGCACTGAAG